AGCCCCACGCTGTTTAAACGGTTACCATCCACAGCCCCACGCGGTTATCATCCACAGCCCCACGCTGTTTAAACGGTTACCATCCACAGCCCCACGCGGTTATCATCCACTGCCCCACGCTGTTTAAACGGTTACCATCCGCAGCCCCACGCTGTTATCATCCGCAGCCCCTTGGCATGCAGATGGTCGGTCTGTTGGCTTCCTCACGATGTCGCCACTCCGCCTGAGGTTAGGTAGCGTGGATACGCTGACCAGCGCTCTAAAAACTCGAGCTCAGGACTGCCGAGAGTTTGGCAATGAAATGTTTGAAGTCGGGCTGCCTTTTTCCGAGTGGCAGTACTCTGGCAAACAGCAGACGCTTGAAGCGCAATGACAGCAATGATGGCTTTTTATCATCGGCGACGTTGGTAGAAGTTTTTAACTTGAATATAGCAGAAAAAGAATAATATTACATAATCAAACCGATTACCATAATTAATGGCCTATTTTATCATACTAATTAAATTCATTTCGGAATCGGGAAGTTAAAAACGCACGAAAACCACCGTAATAGAAAACCAACGCGCATAATAACCGTCATGCAAGATTACCGTCATGTATGATAACAGTCATTTATAAGATGCGTTTGATCGCAATCAATGTGTTGAAAATTTTAAATTAAAAAATAATAATAATTAAATAAAATTTATCGCACTTTAAGTAAATGAAAACCATCTTATTTACAGATATTTAAATAGTTGATGGTCACTAGGCCACATTTTAGAATACTGAAACCAAGCATTTTTAATCTTTTAGTAGAAAAATTTTATACGTGAAAAATCGTGAATTACACAGCACTTAAGTAGAGGGCTTGAAAATATTTTTTAATCTAGACTAATTTTAACTTCATGAAAACCACTGCCCAGGTGATTTAAAGTTAATTAGTCGGATTAGGTCTGGAGGCTGCAACATGAATGCAACATTTCAAAATTCAAAATTTAATCAGTGAAAGTACTCAATGAATAATTATATGCAGTTTGCGAGACATGATTGCATAAAAATGTATAATAATCTATTAACGTTTTATCCATGCATGTGTAAATAACGATCATATTGTCCAAAATTTAAATATAAAAATTTAAAATAGGAACCTTCGAATGGTGCATTGGAGAAAAAATTGTTTAAAATATGAATCAGGAAATTTGTTTAGGATAATTTACGAAGACGGGTTTATTCGTTTGAACATTTTTTATCCTCGCCCTTATGGTTCTGCGACTGAGTTTCGTGGGATAAATATTATTAATGTGTTAGAGAATATATAACGGTGTTACAGAACTGTTATAAATGACAGTTCAAAACGGTGTGGAGACAGTGATGCAACCAGATTTTGCCTGGCCTCGTTCCCTAGTTTGTCCGATTCCTTGTCGCCCTCAAGATTAATTATTCTTGCAATTCAGAATGCGGTCATCCTGAATTAAGATATAATAAATCCGTCGACCCCAATTCCATCATACTGAGTCCATTCTAATAATCTTCATCTTCTTTTCTCCCTCTTTTCAGCGGCTCGATATTTCCACTCTAAAAAATACAATATCAGTAACCGGTAATATTCAGACGTGATAGGTAATATGGATGCGTGTTTTTATATACATGGTGCCAGGCAACTAAACGCGAAAACAAACTTTCACACAATTTGCGATAAATTAGTTAAGTTGACATCAAAATTAAAATCATAAAAAACTATTATGAAACAGAACATTATGGAAAAAATAACTGAATGGATTATATCACTGTACGAGGATTGGAAAAATATGTGTGAAGTAACGAATTACGAGCCAGGAAAGAAACCTCCACAAAATGCACATGTTGGTTCGATTTGTTATTTTCAGTATTTTAATATTTTAATGTCATCTATAAATTAATTTACTTAAAATTTAAATGGTTACTGAAAAATAAAAACTAAGCAATACATTCCCAAATAGCTGCTTAAGTGAGTCTAAGAAGCAAAGTGAATGAACATAAGAAATATTAAGAAAAATGTGAGGCCGCGTAAATTAGATTATTTATGCGATGCTGTTAACCCTTCAGCTGCGTGTGCGTGACTAGTCCTGTTCGGTCACAAGGAGGAGTGAGTCACGAAGTGAGGGGATATGCAGTCCAAAAAGCCGCGAGATTTTTTAGAACCCTCACGGCAATGAAACGCATTTACCTGTTT